CATATGAACTGCTTCAGATGGAAGACAGTGAAAGCATATCTGATTTCTTCACTAGAGTTACAAAACTAGTAAATCAAATCAAGATATGGGGAGAAACGTTAACAACAAGAGTTGTTGTTTCGAAGATCTTGAGATCTTTAACTCCTAAGTTCGACCACATAGTGGTGGCAATAGAAGAGGGCAAAAATGTAAAATCAAGCTTCTCAAATGAACTTTTGTTTTGATTAAGACAAACCATGATTGACAAAGAAGACAAAGATTTTTAATCAAGCTCAAGGCATATATGGACAAAGTCTTCAGTTCAAGCTCTTAGCAACTTTCAAGATATAATGATAATACTTACTTTGATCTTAAGATATAGATGCTCAATGGTGAATAAGAAATATTTTATAACTCATTACTTAAGTTTTTCAAAGTTAAAATTCATTTTTCACTTGAGTGCAATCGATTTGCATATTAGTGCAATCGATTGCATGCTTCAATTTTTCAGATCTTTTGCTTCTGTTTCTCAGTGCAATCGATTTACATTACTTGTGCAATTGATTGCATGCTTAAAATTTTCAAAATGTTTGCTATTGTTTCTCAGTGCAATCGATTTACATTACTTGTGCAATCGATTGCACTAAATCATATTTTTCTACTGACTTCACATGCAATCGATTTACATTGCTTGTGCAATCGATTGCACACTTAAAACTTTTGAAAATATAGCTGTTGAAACCCCGTGCAATCGATTTACACAAAGGGTGCAATCGATTGCATGCTGCACGATTTTGAAAAACATCAGCTTTGCACATGTCTGTTCATAATACCTTTTCATTGAAACCTTTCACTCAATCTTGGAATTTGTTCATGATTCATTTTTAGAACTTTATGATATTTCAAAAGGGTTCTATGAACATATAAATATTCATTTTCAAAATCATTTTCAACACCTCTTCCAAATATATTTTCTGAATTTTCAAAATACAAACTCAAGCTTTTCTTCACTTTCATACATAAGTTTTCTGCACACTTTCATACATTATTAAACAGAAAACTTTGAGCAAGTATATCTTGAGTCATTGTACAATATTATTATTGGAAGAGAAGATCATTCATTGTTAAATCACTCTAAGTGATCAATACTACTCAACTCACTCAAAAAAAATATTGATAGTTACTTACTTATTTTTCCAGGATTGTTGGAAATAAGTTTAAGTGTTTTTAAAATCTCGTCTTTCCAGGATTGTTGGATACAAGTGTAGTCACTTTGAGAGGATTGTTCTCATTGTTGACATAGTGAAAATCCAAGAGGATTGTTCTTGGCTTTTTGGTAGTTCTTGTTTAAGTTTGCCACAATAAGGAAATCTATTTCATGTTGAAAGGGGACTGGAGTACTCTCGGACTGTGAGGGGAACCAGGATATATCGCCTGTGTCTCTTTATTTTCCTGCACTTTACTCTTTCTTAAACTCACCATTAACCATAAAAATAATATCCATCATCACTTAAACCATAATTTTTTAAAGTACCTAATTTAACCCCCCCCCCCCTCTTAGACGCACTTCGTACTTACAAAAGACTTGTCGAAATTGACCAAGGAAGAGCTTCAAGGGACGCTTGAATCTCATGAACAAAGAATGAACGAAAGAGCTGCAGGCAAATCGAAGAGTGATGTGGCCTTGCAGACACATTCAACAAAAGAGACCAAAGACAAAGGAAAGTGTTTCGACAGAGGTAGAGGTGGCTACAACAAATCGAATGATAGAGGAAACTAGATCGAAGGAAACATGTCGAATCAAAGAAGACCATACTAAGGCAAACAAAGAGGTGTTGTTGCAAATAAAGGAAGAGGTGGTGGTCGAAAACCTGATAAGAGTCACATTTAATGTTATAATTGTCAGAAGTATGGTCACTATTCGTGTGATTGTCCAGAAAAACGAAAGAATCAAGAAAGTGATGCAAAGCTTGCAAAACATGAAGAAGAAGAAGAAGAGATGATGCTGATGGTCACAACAAGAGATGAAGATAGATTCAAGGACAAATGGTACTTGGACTCAGGATGCTCATCACATATGTCTGAAAGGAAAGACTGGTTTGTCAATATAAAGCCCTCAATGGAAAATATGGTAAACTTGGTCGAAGAGATAACAGGGAAAAATCATGGAGCAATTACCATGAAGATCGACAACATGTCAACTATCAATTTGGCGAAGAACCCAATAGCACATGGTCGAAGTAAGCACATTGAAATGAAGTTCCATTATCTTCGAGAACAGGTAGCAGATGGAAAGATGAATTTGGAACACTGCAGAACTGAGAATCAGATTACAGACATCATGACAAAGGGAGTGCAAGTCGAAGTATTCAGAAGACTAATAGCCATGTTGAACATAGATAGTTTAGACACAATGAATTAGGTGGTGTGTTAAATTGTAATTCAGTGTGTCGAAACTATGTGTCGAAAAGATTTGATTTGTTTTAAATTTAAATATATTTGATTTAAGTCTAGAATATATTAGATTTGATTTAATAACAAAATATATATTTTGGGCTTTGAGCTTAGGGTGCAAGCTCAGTTATAAATAGAGGAAATAACCCCTATTTTTGTAAGCAAGTCAAACAAGTCGTTCAAAGTATTTTACAGTTGTAAAGTGAATAATAAAGTTTTCACAGTTTGTGAGCAGAGAGAAACTCTGCAGAAATTAATTGTATTGTCTTCTTTTCTTTATTTTTCTTTATTTTTCTCATAACTAATCGTTATTATAGTAGAAATTCATTATAGTCTTTAGGTGGATTTCCAACAATTCATACTTTTTAATTTAATAATAATAATAATTATTTTTTTAATTATATCGTTTAATTATTAATCTATATACTATTTCTAACATATTAACAAGAATAATTTAATAAAAATATATATACACTATCTTTTACTAAACATAGTCGTGATCGATTCCTCAAAATGAAAGAAAATTATTTGCAAAATAGAAAACGTCGGTGATTATGGTTCAAACTTCAAACTCATTAAAATCATCAATTTGTTAGTATAACATAACGGATGAATCATGTTTGAAAGTTTCTTGTGTTATTACTTTTCACGCACGCTACTATGGGATTAAATTTTGCTACGTTAGTTTTTAGGTAATTTGAAATAGTCCTATAAATGAAAACGTTTTAATTAGCAAATCCATTTCCAATTCAAGAAGAAAATTAGCAAAGAAATCGAAGTGATTATTTCAATCAAGCATGCATCTAGATCGGGAAGAATACCTTAATCTACTCATAATAATTTTCTAAGAAAAGATCAATGAAGAATCACAGCTGTTCATAAGTTGAACATTCAAGACCAAGTAAAAATTAAATTTAGATATACCATTAAAATTCTTTTAAGATCTAAATACAATAAGAATAATACTAAATATAACAATGAGCAATGGAGGACAGAAAGTAATTGAATTTAAATTTAAATTGAAGAGCAGTTACTATGTACTATTTCTAAGAAAAAAACTATCATTATGTGTTTTTTAATACAATTATAGAATAAACGCTTTAATTCTGATATTAAGAAAAAGATTAAACGCTTTAACAAAATGATTCATTAAATGGTGTATTAAGAAACAAAAAGAATGGTACAAAAGGAAACTATCCATTCAAAAAAAATATTAAAAGGAATCATTTTAAGTTAAATAATAAATAATAATTTAATATTTGAGTAACAACTAATGTGTCTTGTTAGAAACGGGAAAAACTTAATATTAAAACTGTTTTAATTTTTAATATTTTTATTCTATAACAGAAAAATTGTAAAAAATTACAAATTATTTTTCCATATTTTGCATATTGAAAGAAGATGTTTTTTTTTTTTTTTTAATTTGATAGATCCTTCAATCTTAATCAAACAATTTAAAATAAAAATAAAATAAATTTTTTATTTTATTAAACAATTTTAAATGCATGATTGTGTTGGAAATCCGGCTGCAAGGAATCATCCTCTTATAAATAATTAAAAATAGAAACAAAATATTAATTTTCTGTTCTCTTAATGAATATGAAATTACTGGCATGAAACATGATAAATCTCAGGGACAGAAATGTTTGATTTAGTAATAAAGTGACATCCATGATGCATTCCATATTTCCATCATCTATGTCTCCTTATATATATTTTATACGATCATTTTTTAGAAGATAATACAAGTAATTAGCACTCAATTATTGTATAAATATATTCACATTTAATTAAATTAAAAGATTAAAATCAATTAGTAATTGAGAGGTGATGGACAGAGAATCACAAGATGCATCCCATTCATATATAAGCTAATAATAGAAAAGCAATAAGAGTGATTAAATTTGATTCTATAAAGATAGCATTAGTTCCACGTGAGAAATGCATTTTTCTTTCAAATTTTAAGAGAGATAATCATTATCCAAATTCACAAATAATAAAATTATTATTTTCTTTTTCTAGTGTTCTTATTATTATGTTAGTAAATAATTAAAATGAAATATAATATTATTAATGGTTGAATGAATTAAAAATAATTAGAGGGAAATATGGGAAAAAGTAAAAAGAAAGTGTGATGGAAGAAAAAGAAAGGTAGGAAGAAGAGACGCATGGGCCACACACATAGTATAGTAGAAACAACAAACAACAACTATTACAACAAAACAAAGAACAATACATCACCCATTTTATTTACCAACGTTATTACGACTCTATTTTATAATCTTAAAAATAATAAAATAGTAAATAAAAAAATGGATGGAGATTTGAAAGGAAAGGTATATATAAATAAATATACACAATATATAGGTGTAAGTGTAAGGTAGAATAAGTAGTTGTAAAGAAAAGGCAATTAAGTAGAGGAAGAAGAGAAAAAAGAGAAAGAGGTTGCAGAATATTAAGGTGTCTCTCTTGGACTGATTCTCTTCAATCAATACCATATATCTCTATATCTATTCTCAAACCATTCCTCAACAATTACAACAACAACAACAACAACAATTGTGTTCATGGCTGTTCAAGCTCAATATCCTTCCAATGTTCTTCTTCTCAACAACAACAATAACAACAGGTTCTTATCATTATCATTCTATTGTAAGTTTGCAATCTTAATGATGTGTCTTGTTTTTTCTTATTGTAATTGTTTTCAATTGTAATTGTAACAGTAGAAATGTTCAAGAAGAACATGAATACTCTTTACAACCGCAACCACCGGGAGCATTAGGACTAGCACTTCTTGATCAAACTCATCATCATCAAAATCATCATCAACAACATATTCTATGCAACAACACAAGTATGTTTATGTTTATGTTTATGTTTTAGGTTTCTTTTCATCGTTGAAACACCAACCATTGTTTTCATATTATTGATGATGGCTAAAACTCATTCATTCAGCAGGTACTAATTCTTGTCGGAAAAGAGGAAGAGAACCAACCAGAACATCACCTAATCTTATCAATCATTTCTCTTTACAATCTCAACCGTCACAGATTATTCATCTTTCTCAACTCCATAATCATCAACAACAACAAAATGTTGTCTCTACTGGCCTTCGTTTATCATTCGATGATCAACAACAACAACAAAGATTACAGCTACAACTTCATCAATATCAATCTCAACTACAACAAGGTTGTCACTCCTCAACTTTCTTGTCTCTATTATCACAAGGACTTGTTTCTCAAATCAAACAACAACATAATGAATTAGACCAATTCATTCAAGCCCAGGTAAACAAAAAAAAAAAAATTCAAGTTTCTTTTATTTTTAAATTATCCTTTGCAATTTTTTATTTATTAGAAATTGGAAAATCAGGGAGAGACTCTACGGCGGACATTGACGGAAAAAAGACAGAGACATTACCGAGAGCTACTAACCACGGCGGAGGAAGCGGTGGCGCAACGCCTAAGAGAGAAAGAAGCCGAGCTAACAAAAGCGACGCGCAAGAACGCCGAGTTAGAAGCGCGTGCGGCCCAGCTAACCATGGAAGCCCAAGCGTGGCAGGCGAAAGCCCGGGCTCAGGAAGCCGCGGCAGCCTCTCTCCAAGCCCAGCTGCAACAGACAATAATGTGTCAAACCGGCGAAGACGCCGGCATCTCCTGTGCCGTGGAAGGACAGGCTTCGGATGCCGAATCGGCATACGTCGATCCGGACAGAGTGGTTGTTGTTGCGGAGGCGCGTGGGAAATGTAGAGCGTGTTTAAAGCGCGTGGCGACGGTGGTTGTTTTGCCTTGTCGGCATTTGTGCATATGTAAAGAATGCGATGCGCATTATAGTGCTTGCCCTGTTTGCCTCACACTCAAGAATTCAACCGTTGAGGTCTTTCTCTCTTAGCAATTATTTCATTTACTTACCTAAATAATTTTATTACCATTGTCCATATACTACTCTTTTTTTTCATGAATAAAATTACATTTTTGTTTTACCTCTGGTTAATGTATTTCATTTACTTTTGGTTATTTCTTCTCTTTATTGCATTGATATACTAGTATCAGTGTTTGTTGTTTCAATTTTGAAATGTCAATAGTCAAAAGGGTTGGTTTGAGTGATGTTTATTATGGTTGGGATGGGGATGAAGAGGATGAAAGTTGCGTGTAATATTAATGAAGGGATTAGGCATCCTATGATGGAATATAGCATAGGTAAAAGAATGGTTTTGTGAGTTGTCAATTCTTAGGTAACATTTTTTAACTTGCAAGGCATTGTTACAGTACGTACGTGCGTGTTTTTTGGTTGCATTGTTTAGCTTTATGCTATCAATTTAGGTTGGAAGTAACTAGATGTGTTATATTATAGGAAAATGATTTTACAATTTGGTGGATTTATTTATATATTTTTGTATAAATTTATATTAGAATTCAAGTTTAGTGTAGGTGTAACCAAAAAAACACTTTAGTGTTGCGTGACCTAATATACTTTAATAATCTATTAAAACTAAAGTTTGATCAAATTCATTTCTATAAAATTATAAAAGAAATAAATATGCGCTGAACAGAGTATAAAGGATATGGTGAGGATTAGACTATCTCTTAAAATTAATGGTAATTTATCTTCTAACGATATATTAATAAACTTTTATCATATAAAATTAATTTTTAAAATCATATATTAATCTAAAACTTTAAAATATTAAATCGATGTTTTTTTTTCACTTAAAAAAATTTAAAATCTTCTTTTTTATTTAATGTGAGAATTATTATTCACACGTTATAAGAAATAAATTACTCTTAATTTATAAAAAGACATGTATTTAACTAAAACATATTTTTAGTTTTAAAATATTAATATGATATGACAAATATAAAAATTATGATTAATTATGTAATATTAATTTATAATGTCAGTGTGTTGTATTTAAACTTAAACTATAAGGCGAAACTCATTATAAGGTGGAGATGTTTTGTTTAATCATTTTTTTTATCGTAATTAATTTATAATTAATATGAAATTTGCAATTTTTTCAATAATTTATAAGTTATTATTCTTTGTAATTAAATTAAAATTTAAAAGCAATGATGCATATAAACCGATAGTATTGTTTTAATAAGTTAGATGAAGGAGTAAAATGGGCTTGGTTGACAAGAACCAACTTAGTTTAGGCATGTATTTTTTTAATGAAAAATATTAGTTTCTTTATAAACCAAAATGATATCATAAAATATATTGTCAAATATTTATAATTGAAAAAAAGATTAAAATATATTGAAACAACAAAATGTTGAAAATAAAAGATTGGCAGCACCAAAGCCCATCAACAAACAAACAACCCATTTATTTATTTGTTGTTTTGTTTCTCAAATCTCTCAAAAGAAAATGAAAACTCAAAATTTCACAAGTCTATAATTGCTTCTTTGAAAACCCAACTCTATGTGCACTGCACACTACCATAGGCATCAAGATTGAGATGTATTTGACCCTTCAAATTGAAGCAGCCCTAATAACCCCTTTTAAGTTCATCCAGACGTACTTGTAGGACAGTGCCAAGCCAACAAAGGCACTTCAATTAATTTCCAAGAAAATATGTCCCTCTCCTTTCTCTCACCACTCTTGATTCTTCTCTCTCTCTCTCTATTCCAAACTCATTTAAATGAATAAACAAACTAGTCCCTTTATTCCATCTTCCAAGAAACTACCTTCTTTTAAAAACTTTTAAAAAATATTAAGTTTTAAAAAATATATGTAATTACATCTAATATAAAATCGACTTTTAAGAGTGAGAATTGTTACGGCTTGTAAACACTTGTCAATGTCGTATATTGTTTGAGTAATGATTTATAAACACTTTTTATATCATATTGTCTACCGTATGATTTTAACACATACTTTCATGTTCATGACTAAATATTTGGGATTGCCCTCAACATATGTTAGACTATATTAATATATATTGTTTGAAGTAAAATTTTTAACATAATTTCTCACATTTATAATTGAATATTTGAAATTTATAAATAAATCGTGAGCGGGTCCTTAAAAAATGTAATCGAATCTAATTTATTTTTATAAAATTGATTCGTAAAATGAAATTTATTCTTATTTGTAATTTTGTGTTAGTCATATATTCTCATAAATAAAACTTTAAAAAAAATAAATAAAGGACTAGGATACTACTAGTTATAGTGTATGTTTTGTTTTATTTTTGGAAGATTTAAACTCAATTTTATATATGTAGAAATAATATTGGATGATTTTGAGGTTATTGATTTTTTAGAAGTATAATTGATTTTGCTTTTAAAATTAATTCTATTTAAATTAAAATTTGTAACTTCTATTTTTAAAATTGATTCTAAATAATTTTTATTCTGAATTTTATTATTCAACTTACTTTTATATAAATATATTTAAATATAAATTAATTTTACTAAATTAAATTCAATTAAAATCAATTTTACTAAACACAATTTTATTAAATTCAATTTTATCCGACCAAAGTGAGACACATCCATAATCTTGTATTAAAGAATACGAAAAACTCAAAGAAAGAAAAATAGTAAGCCCGAAAACTAAAGCAACCAAGAATTGGACAAGACTTTAGCATCTAATTTGGTGCAAAGTCATCTTATAAAAATTCAATTATATCAAAGTGGTGGAACTCAATTCAAAGCCAAACTCATCAAAATTTAGCCAAAAATCATAGCAACTATCAACATGGAAAAATAAAAACACTCATTATTATTATTATAATTATAAAAATAAAACACTTGAAAGACAAGACATACATGTTTCCTTTGTCGTTTTTCCCAAATAATTAATTCATATTAACGTATCTAATTTTATTTTTTCCTCTAACATGATACCACCCATTAACTACTCGTCCTTTGTGAAAGCATGCACTATAATCAAATTATCAAATTGTCCCCTCATGTGATCTTTACTCCACTTTGTCTACACTCTGATCTATTTTTTTCTTTCTGTCTACACTATTGATTTCCATGAGAAACAATGAAAAACAAATTATTTTCAAAATTACGAGAAAACAAAATATTGTGGGGAAGAGAGAAAAAGGACAATAATAAGACAGTGTCATTCATGTGAGAGTAACATGTAAATTATTGGTGTATGTACATAAAAGGTTTACGAATCAAACACGTTTGAGTTGTCAATATGGATGAAAGAGCATAATAGATGAGTCAAGACTAACTTTTGCAAACTTTGTGGTGGTGTTCTTGAAATTGATGATTTTCAAAATCTGAATTGTGGTGTAGTATTAAAATAGCTTTGTTAAGGAAAAAAATGTTTATTAATTTTCTATGTTAATTATGTTTGTCAGATTCTTTCTCTGGGTTGGTGAATGAATGACACATTTTAGCTTATCCAGATGGTGGCATTGAAACTAATAACCATTACATAACTATAATTATGTAATTCAATTATCATATTCTAATCACATACTTCCTATGTGAGCAAGAGCAACTAATTAATTAAAAGGATATCAAAACAATTAGTACAAGATTACAAACAAATTCACATGCATGATCTCATTGCACCTTCCTTGTACGAGCAACTTGTCTCCATTCAACTGTACACGTGCTGAGAATCTTAATATAGATGTACATAGTCATCTATTAAAAAAAATGTTATGAATATTAGAGTTAATGAAATTGTTTTGTTTTGTTTTTATGCATATGTTCAGTCCTCAAGAATAGCACATTAGACATTTTTAATTATTAACTAAATTTTTACCATGGGTTCAATTTACCACCTTTACACTAAAATTTTATTATAGGATCAACTTACAAATTTATACTAGTATTTTATAATTTTAAGAGAATAAGTCACTCTTGATTTTACAATGATATGAAAATAAAACCATTGATTACACACTAGTCTATATAGTAGTTTTTCTCTTAAACAAAAATTGTAAAAACGAGTGAGAGAAGAAGAGAAGACTTTTGAAAGATTTTTAAGTTAAGTACATTTTCAAATAAGCACTAGACTCATTTACATAGCAAAACAATCATAAAGTCTTGTAGAAAAAGAAACAATAAAAAAACTTAAAACCGACCCGTAATTGATTATGACAAGACTATAATCGATCCTGTTAAAAAATTTTAATAAAATTTGACTCAATATCGTATCATAATCGATTATATATATGTAATTGATTATTCAACGAGACACATTTCATAGTAATTGATTATACCACAACCATAATTGACTAAAGGGTGGAAAGTGCTTCATATTCGTTTATCTATACATCCATAATCAATTATGCTAAATAAACAAAAATGTTTTTGACTATTCCAAGAGGATTTGTAATTAGTTTTTAAAAGGTTGGAGTTAGAAAACAATTTTTATGAGTGTATATATATTTTAGCATTAAGAGAGTTACGCTAAATATTACTCTAATAAAATAAAATCACTTAACCTTTATATCAAAGACTTTTTTAAAGATTCATGTCTATTCATTTTTGATTGTGTTCATAATATTTGATTTGGTTGAGCCGATCCTCAAAAGCTTCAAGTCACGCTTTTTGATTAAGGTCTATTCTTTGAGGTAATCATCAAAACTGGTTTAAAAACATAAAACGACATTCTCCTCCTTTTTTTAATTATAAATCATCTCTGGAATATTGACTTAATAGCATTGTTAGAGAATAAGAAAATAACGAAGAAATAGAGTTTTAAGTCTCATTAGCAAATAAACAAGATGTTCTTCTTAAAGAGTAGGGGTGTTTGCGATGCGGTTTAAATAATTTTGATAAACCTCTTGTATTTACTTTATCTTATACAACTAAACCTTTAATCCATTTTCTTGTTTGGAAAATAAGTCACAATCTTCGGAAAAATCCTACCCTAGCATGAAATTTCTCATCAAGTAAGCACTAAGGAGC